GAAGAGATTGCGTAAGTGCAGGATGAGGGAGGAGGGTTGGAGTGGTGACAGGGAGGGGATGGTGGTGGATCTGCAAGCACTGCAGAACTGGGTCCCGCTGCTCTTTCCTCCCTCCCACTCCTTGAGAAACGAGAGTGTGAGAGCCTCGGGCAAGGTGAGTTCATGTGACACGGAGGAGGTGGGCGTCAGCACGAGCAGCCAGAGCTGCCCTGCTCATGGGTGCTCAGCCCATCCATCAGCCAGGTCTGCAGAAGGTGTGCTGGAGGGCTGGCCTGGGGAAGGACGGTCAGGGGAACAAGCGTGGTTGAGCCAAGTACACACTTCAAATGGGGCTTTTTTGGTGCCTTCTAGAAATAAGCTGTCTCATAATCCGCCATCTGGTCCAGTGCTGTTCACAATGGAGCTCCATGTGCTATGGAAACCCCTTAGGCTCCTGAGGGAGGCTGTCAGCCGCTATAGATACTGTGCATCCAGTGCATGTTGTGAAGAGGTCTTGCACCAACAGCTTCTTACGAGTAAATGTGAAAAAAAGAAGAAAACATGCATGTACTAACGAGAAAGTGGAAGAATGCACTGGGCAGCAGTGTGGGTGGAGGCCGTGCTGCTTGGTGCCTTTCAGGAGTCCCTGTTTCAGCAGTTGCTGCAGCACCTTGTGGACCCCCACCTGACCTTGCTGGAGCTCTGACCCCCCAGCTAGGCCAACCTGCGGCAGGGAAAGCTTCAGTGAGCGTGCTGGGCTGCACCTTGCCCTTAGTGAGCAAAGCGAGGCAGCAGGTGAGAAGGCAGGAGTGCTTACCCTGATACCCCGTCCCTCCGCTGAGGCCCTGCTGGGCTGACCTAGTGCTCTGGAAGTATTTCTTGTGCTTAAGGCTTTTAACTGACACCCCCCCGCCCCCCACAGCTGATAGCTACTGGAGCATGGTACTAGGAAATGTTACTACAGCATACTTTGAATTCACATAGATTTTGTAGAAAAAGCATTTGAGACTTCCCTTTTTTAGAATGAGAAGCACTGCTGTTCTGAGTGTAGCGGTGTGGCATCTTGTTTGGAATTTCCCTTGCTTTCTATATATACACATGCAGCGAAGCCACAGGAAATGGAAGTTTTAAAAAAATACCATAGAGCATAGGTATCTGGTTCTTGAACAGATTTTATTCTTGTAGTTGGTTTTATTATTAGTGAGCACTTAATCTTGAGGCATCATTTAAGGCTTGTTTTAAAAGATGTGATGTCCTAAATCATCGTAAGGGGAAGCAGACACTGCCTTAGAAGTTGCAGAAGATTTGAGCAGCTTTTTAGGCTCTGCACAGCCCGTGCTACAGCAGACAGCATTGTTGTTGATCTTCTCTCCCTTGGGGCTTTTGGGGTAGGGACGTACTCCTGAGGCCTCTCCCAGTTGTGTCTTCTGAGATTCAGTGAGTCAGTCTCACCTACAGCTGCTGTCGTGATTGTGTGCTAAGGGCCTGCTTCTGCATGGCAACCAGCATAGTTACCAGTAAACAGCCTTTGCTTGAAAATCCCCAGCAAAGTACGTTATAGTTAGGTCCAGGAGTAGTGAGAACCGGCTTGCCAGCACTTGAGGATAGATGGTCTGAAAACTTCATTGTTGGTGAGACAGCTGCTCGGGAGCTGTGAGCTTGTCCTAGGTCTGAACTCAGGCTGGTTTGGAGAGCAAAACTGAGGGAAGGTAATTTAATGAGGGAGAAATTTCAGGAGAAGGGATGGACTAATCATGAAGGTAATTGGACAAATACATCTTGGCAGCTCTTAATATGTGAAGACGTATTCCTCCAAGTCCCAGAAGGGATAGTTATCCTGCTGCCTCCCTGGACCTGGAGGCACCTCTGCCTGCCTTCTGTGCACCTCTGCGGTACGGGCGTTGCTCGCCAGCAGTGAGACATCTGCAGAAGCCTAAACGGGCATTAAGCGTGCCTGATAACAGGGTTCAGTTATCTCGGGTGCCTTCTGTTACCAATACAGCAAATAAGGAACTGAGTCCCATAAGGTCACATAGTTCTTCTGTGTCGTTTCAAGAGTCTCTTGTGTGAGGACTTGTTTCTGCAGTTTTACACGGTGTGTGTTTCGGTGAACAAGTGCACTACAAATGGATAACCGAAGTTCATAAAGTTTATGCTATTGAAGTGCCCTTCATTTTATGCAGTTACTTTCTTACTCATATGCTGTTATTGCTTTCTGTTGGGAAAGGAACTGGGTTGCTCTTACTGTGTGACCAAACAAGACACACACTACTTGGATGGCCATCCAAGTGGCAGAGGATGCCAGCGTGAGGCCAGGAGGAGCTTTCCTGCATTTAAAGGGCTCAAAAACATGCTGGGAATTCATGGCTGCTTTCACTTCAGTCCTGGGGCAGCAGAGTTGACCGTTTTAATGCATTCTGGTCTACAGTTTGAGGAACCTGACTTGTGACTGTAGGTGGTGGTGGTAATTGCTTGGGAGGCCTTGATGTGCATGCTCTGCCTGGTGAGGAGAGGGCAAGTAAAGATTTTATACTGTGAAGATCAAGACATCTACCAGAGACTTCGGTGTGAAAGTCAAAGCACTGGGTAATACACAAGTTTTCTTAGGAGGAATAGTTTATGCCCTATAACCTGAAACAAACATTTGCATGTAAGAGACTGGTGGTTCTTCATAGTGCACGTAACTGGTTTCTTGTTAAGACAAAACGAGAAATAAATAGGCAAGGCTTTACCAGCCAGAAAAAAAACCCTCAGTAGGAAAGGGTAAAATGAAATCACTCTGAAGTGAGGTATTTTTGTACTGAAAACCAGCAGATCTGTCCTGTATTCAAAGTCCAGTTGTCATTTTGTGCATAGCTTTAGGTGGTAGCTGCAATCTGTGCTTGACCTGTACCTTCACCTCTTTGTGTCTGTTGCTCCAGTGTGGTCCTCTGTGGAGATATATCCAGTTTCCCGGGATTTATGTTAATATCTGCTTTGACTGGGGACTAATTCAGGGGTCTTAAAACCACAAGAATATGTACTATTAAATTCTGTATACTGCAGATTCTCAGATCTAATTATTGCATCTAATAGTTGTAAGTAAGTCAGTCTGTCCAACTGTACCTACAGGGATTAACACGAGTGGAAACCTCTAGCAGCCTTGAGCTTCTGAGTGATGTACATGAAAGCAGCAATCATCTCAAATGCAGTAAAAAAACAATGCACTGCCAAGATCTACCTTACTGTTGTGTTTGTCTCTAACTACCTTGTAATGAGAATCACTAAAAGTCCCTGTTCTGCCATATCAGTCACTGGCAATATAGTGTTGGTGCACACTGAAGCTGTAAACAAGGCTTGTCTAATGAGAACAGTCAAAAAAAGTAAGATTAGCTAATGCCACAGGAAGTTTAATCATGTTTCTCAGCCTATATTCTGTGGGCTGCATCTGATCTCTAAGACCTTAAAAGGCAATGTATGAAATGGTCACTAAAAGAGAAAAAGGAAAAATCTCTGTGTGTTTATGCATGCTGTGTTGGGAAAAATAAGCTAGTAATCAACCCCAGGTTTGCAATCAGTTACGGATTAGATTAATAAGAACCATTGCACCTGCCCACTGCATGCAATGGCCCACGCCTTGGTTTGGTAATATCCCACCTAAGGCAATGCGGGCATAAATGATCATCTTCCCTTGGGGCTGTAACAGGATCATGAAAAGGAAATATCAAGGAAAATATCCACAATCCTCCTGAAGTGTAGTACTGGGAAGGAAGCAAAGCAGAAGACTGGAGTGGTGTTATACAAAATAAGTTTTCTTAATTATGACAGGTCACGGTTGTACTAGGCTCGTGCTTTGTATCCCGTCCTTAACTCCCGCTTTGACATGGTGAGAGACACCTGGAGCTAAGGCTGAAGAAACCCAGGGCCCTGTTACATTTGTACGCTTTAACTTCTGATACTTTTCAAAACAGTCCCCTGCTATTTGCTGAAGTTTTCTGCAGTGTAGATGGGATAAGAAGATATTTAAGCTAGCACTGATGTGTGGCAGGGTAGGGCATTAAATGTGTTCTCGTGCATCTGAAAGGTCATTCTTCCTCTCATAAATAAGGAGCGATTTTTCAACATATCTGAAAAGTCTTGAGACACTGGTTATCACTGAAGCAATGAAACAACTCGTACCTGAAACCATGACATTTAGTTAGCCCTTACTAGAGTTACTGGGACTATTTCACATTTAAATACTTAGACTGAAAGAGAGATTTTTGACCACTTTACTAATGTAGTAAAGCAACTGCACAATCACTTTTACTATAAAAATAATCCTTAGGTAAAATAGCAATACATCAGTAATTACACAAATACACATTTACAAACGTGTAAAATAGTTACTTATGGCACAGAAAAAATAAATATCACTGTACATTGTTTCTGTGCAAAAAGACAGGCTAGTTTTAGTCATTAACCAGCCCTTTTATAAGTTTTCTTCACTTCTCCTGATTTCAGTTGAACAGAAGGATTTTCAGATGAGATGTCTGAAAGTTCAGCCTCAATAGACAAGAAAATACTTTCGCTTTTAACCCAGATAAAGCACAAGAAGGTTTTTCCTATCTTCTGCCAAAATGCTCCTCCCTCGTTCTTCAGCCTACATTTTTGGAAGAGGAGAAAAATTTCAAGTTCAGTAATTTTTTTCACAAGCCTTCAGACCGCTGTAAAGAATTAGACTCAAATATGAGCCAAGCAACACTCTGAAGCTAATTACCACCATAAGTTTCAGTTTAGTTTGTAGTAGAATTTGCATTATGCTTGCCTTCCTTGTAGTTGTCAAAAGTAATTCTTCATAAAACCACTTTGCTTTATCTTGAAGTCTTTCATACAGTCCAAGAGAAGGTGAAATCAAGTAAGAGGTAGGTATTGTTCATCCTCCTAATTCCTAAGAGCTGTCCATTTCAATTACTCCAGTTTAGGACTGTAGGAGATATGTATGGAGCAAAGTTTTGCTGTCTATAAAGTAGTGATTAACTTACACGCCTCGCATCACGCGGTCACTGACAACATTCAGCAACGTGCTTGAGGAATTCATCACTGAGTTCGTCATTGAAAAACCTCATACAATGAGGGCATCTAAGTTCACCCTGTGCCCTGCCCTCAGATCCCGAGTTTCCATTGTCCGCAGGAGGAGAAGCTTGTTCAGACTGTGAAGATGTTCTTCTCGTGTCTGTTTGGCCTGGGCTGTTGCCTCGCAGATGTTCAACGTTCGTCTGTACGTACATATGATTTTGGTTACCCATATGAACTCTGAAATGACTGCTTGTTTCTCTTGAGTCCTAGAAAGAGAAAGAGGAGCTCTTGAAAAAGATGCAGTGAAAATACATTCTTTAACAGAATATTTTATCACCTTTATCTGAAACACTGCTCATGTTTAATCAGAAGATTTGTAAATAAAATATGCATTGGTTTTTGCAGTTTTATAAAAATAGTTGTAAAGAAGGCTTGTAGAAATATAGCACAGAATATAACCAGTATGCTACTTTAAAGACATCCGTGTTACAAAAGTCATGGCTGTCCTTCTCTTCCTTCCAAGAATCCACCCTTACTGTGTTGATCCAAAATAGAAGGAAAATGGACTGGAAATTCCATGTGTATTGGGAAGCGACTCCACTGGAACTGACTATGAAATAATACCAGTTTTTGATAGCTGCGCTGAGCTGAAATGGTTTTAGAAGTGCTAGGATTTTTTAAAAATATATTTAGAAGTATATTTTAGTCCTGAATCCTGTTGGCATACTTTAATTGAAAAAGTAACATATTGCCTTCTTACCTGTCTTCTTGCTAGCTGGTGTTGCAGGCATGCAACTTCTGCCTGAAGCTCTTGTATTTTACTCTGTGCTCGTTCTCTGTCTGATCTCTCGGATGTGAAATCATCTTTATAAACTAGCATCTGAAAAAGAATTATCATGTTAACATTTTGTAACTCAGAGCATTGGGTGGTTAGATTAAAAAGCTGAGGCTGTGATTCCTTTGTTTGTAAATACTTATTCCCAGAATCTCAATATTATCTTCTCTGTCATATCTGTACTTTAAAGGTATTTGTATTTCTTTTTTTGACCTTTCATATTTTGTATTAAAGCCAGCAGAACTGCATGCAGTTCTTTAAGGAGTGAGTTTCCTTTAAATCTGTGTTGTTAAGTATCTGCGTAGCCAAATGTGGCAAAGACTAGTGTTGAAGGTCGAAAGAAATAATTTCATTTTTCCCCCTTGGACTTCAGTGGTCTGGGGAGAAACTAAGACTTTCCACCTCTAGGAAAAAGAAATTTAATGACCTGTTGCTCCAGCATTTGCATGCGCTCATTATCTCCTTCACTAGCCTTCTTCACATCTTCTAATTCTCTCTTTGTTTTTATGCATTCATTCATTTTTTCTTCCAGTAGCTTGTTTAACCGGAATATCTCCTTGTGCATCAGGTCAGAATTTGTTTGTGCGGAAGCTACACCATGCTGCTGCTCCAGTTGTGACTTCATCTCTTTCAGCTGCAAGTGGAGTCGCTTCACATACTCATCCCTGCTCGCATCGTATTTCTGCCATTTTGCATTTAAATCTTCCACCTGAAAGATTGTCCAGGAGAGTCATGAAGACACAAACTTCCAAGCTTTCATAGACTGTCTATATATGCAGGACCAAAATTCTCTAAAAGATAAATACAATATGGTGACGCTGAATACAGTACACTGACTCACACGCTGAGTGTGGATAAGCCACCTGACAGGAGAGCAGAAGATTAATCGTGCTATAAGCCAGGCTTTTCACGGGCAGCCTTCCCCATTTGCCAGTCCACAGGGACAGTACTAAATGATATGGAATGGGAGGGGCTGGCAGTCACCCGGGGCCTGGTGCTGTGCTCTTGGGGTAGAATACCGATGCACGGAAGGAACATGAAAACAATTTTCTTCTGCAGTGTATTTTTAACAACACAACCCCAATACATTAAAAATAATGTAATAAGTTACTCTTAGCTAAGGCAACAAAGACTATGTGCCATGTTGCAAAGACTTAAGAAAAATTCTGGACTCGCATTAAACTGCCATTTAATTAGATTAACTAGGCCTTACCTATTCCAAATTTACTGTAATTAAATCTTAATCTTGTACAGAAAGAAAGTACTCACGTGAGCTACTTTTTGTTTTAACATCCTGTTTTCATCTTGTAGGTTGCAGATAAGAGCTTGAAGTGAAGTTTCATTGTCTAAAAGCTGTAATTTTCAGATAAAGGAAGTGTTACTTTAACACAGAAATCCCAAATGCTACTTAGCTATGCTGTTAAACTGGAATTAATCTTTTTTTTTTTAATTCCTCTAAAAGTACTTGCTATCAGTGAAACAAATACATACATCTAGGTCTATTTATTTCTATATAGTGTATTTCTAAATACTAATAGCAAAGCCCACAGCTTTTATTATTAATAAGCAGGACAAAAATGTACTCAGGTTTTTACCACCTTGGTATTGCTTTTAAATAGATCTGTGTGGTGTCACGAATGTCATAAAAACACATCTGCCATACCAAAGTCTGAGCCTGCTAAAGGTAACAAGAAAAACACCACACATTTTACATGCATGAGGGTCTTCTACACTGACGACAACAAAGCTTAATGGTTTACACAAACTCCTTGGAAACTACTTGTTCAGAGCAGGGAATACATGACAAAGACACAGATACGCCTTCATCTTGCTTTGTTATTACTGTCAATTTTGGCCAGTACTAGGAAGAAATTACTGAGGGAAAAAACCCTGCTTGCTAAATAATTGACTAAAATGATACCTCTTTCTTACAGTTGTGACATCTGCTTAAAAAAACCCCGGTGTACGTGAGTAATATAGAACACTTTTGTACAAAATTCCCTAGAATCAGCTAGTACTTGCATCTGAAATTTCTTTTCTTCAACAGGGAAGTCCCCATTGTACAAGGTTAGCTACTTATTACATGTATCAAAGTCAATCAAGTTTCCTGTCTATCAATTACACGTAAAATGATAATACTAAATGCTTCAAGCCCCCTAAAAAGTCCTTTTTTTCTTGTATCTAGTCCACTTCTAATTATTTCTTACAGGTAACTTTAATGTGAATAAGTTTTCTTTGGAAATGCTCCTGGGATGTTTTACGAAGTAGAAGGGAGCACGTATAGAGTTTATCATAAAAGCACAGATGAGTGGTCATGTGAAACACAGCATTACCTCTATGAAGCAGTAAGAGCATGAGACAGAATTAGTCTTTTTTGTGAGAACAGGCTGTAGCATCCTACTCAATACTCTGATCTGTTACTGGAGGCAGCACCTCTAATGTAATTTGCTGACGGTATAATCATGAATTGCCTAACGACTCTGAACCATCATGACTTCTGGAACAACAGGACAACCCGATCTACCTCTACCCTACACTGAAAAGCTTCACCAAAGGTGAGGATGTGGCAAAGCCACACAGCCATTAGCAAAGTATGCCAAAATCCAGGTGTTCCTTTGTGCTGCTCAGTGGCATTGCTGCCACCTGCCTACCATGAAGCAATTTTTCTGAACATCCCTGCTGGAGAAAAACATTCCCCTCTGGCCTGCCAGTGCAAGGCAACCCCAAAGTAAAAAGAACAGGAAAAACAAAAAAGGAGAGACACTTTGACTTGTTCTTCCCTGACCAACTTTCTGTAGGTCTGTACTACGTGTGCAAAGCCAAATCCTGACCTGAGAAGACCACATGCTGTAGAGTTCATAACAGAAATACAACTTTAAAATATATCTACTTTGTTTTGTAATTTAGATGCTTAAATAAGAAATTGGGAGGTAACACCTTCAAAAGCAGAGCACCATCTAGTGATGCACAGAAGCGTGCTGCGGTATAAACAAGGTACTGTCTCCTGTATTTGCAGGGAAGAATTGTAATCATGGAACTGATGAGGTTGGAAGGGACCTCTCAAGATCCTCTCCTCTCCAGAAAAAGCCTCTGATGATGAGGTGAGATGGACAAAATGCAAGTGATTGATAACTGCTTCCATCCAAAAGTTTTTGGTACTCAGAATAATTTAAAACTTGCCATGGTAGTCTTTTCACCCTACGTGAAATTATTTAAAGGGATGTTTCTTACCACTCCCCAGTTACAACTATCACATTGTAATGAACACCTCAGAAACTACTAAGACTGTAAAGAAACACAGTAGCAGTAAGAATACCTGATTACGTCTTTCAGTAGGTATCTGGTCATCTGAATTCCCCTTCTCTTTCCTTTGCTTCTCTTCTAGACATTTTGCCAGATGTTGACACATTTCTGCTGTGGATGCTAATTTGCGTTGAAGTTGGTGAGTTTCATCAGTGAGCGAACGGCACAAAAGTCTGATTTATCATCTGATGTATCTCTCCATTTTTCTCCTCTAGTTGCTGATTCAACTTCTGTACTTCCTAAACATAACGGGGAGGGGAAGTTATTTAGAAACAAAGTGAACTCTAAAGCCAAAGTATGTCTAACACTGAATTCCATATTGCAGTAATTCCATATTGATCCTATATTCACTGCAAAGTACTTAAAAAGTAAAATAAATGCAATTCATTTCTATATAATCACTCAACCTTGGTACTGACAGAGCAATCAACATCAAGAACTGCTTGGACAGCTATACAAGCACTTCCTAGTCCGTGGAATGAAGAAGCAACCACCAAAAATTCCAGAAGATTTTATGAAAAGATGTATAGCAGCAACAAACTAAAGGAGGAACCCACAAGACACAAAGTAGTTTAAAAGGAGTAACTACGGAGACTGAGAAATGCTTACTCGTCCTGCATTCCAAATTACCAGATAGCAAGAGATTTTTCTCAAAAAAAGTGGAACTGGAAAGTCATCTTATCAAAAACCAGTGAAGTGTATTCATTGCCGGGCACTGTCACAAGGACGAAGCAGAGGGAGCTACACAGCAACTTTCCCACCTAGGAAAGGATGAGCAAACAGAAAATGAAATCCAAGGTATGCGAGGGGACCTGACATACTCTTAGCAAACAACTTTGTATCTCGTCACTGTGCATTCTTCTTGAATTGGAAGCTCTGTGGGATCATCCACACTGCATTCAGTTAACGTCTCTGCAGGTGTTTCAAGAAGGAAGTTTTGTTCGCTGACTGGAGTACAACCACTCTGTAGTACCATGCAGTACACCGGTCCTGACTTTGTCAAAAACGGCTTGTGCTTGATGTCCTCAAAAAGTAGAGGATACTGGTAACAGAAACGTCTTGAGCACTGCTCCCCCGGAGTCAATGATGCCCTGGATGCCAGTGTCAACCGTGAGACGGGTACAGGTTTGATGCTACCCTTCCAGTTCTTCATGAGTGCTAATGGAGCTGTAAATGACAGGGAGCACATTTCTTTGCCAGCACAAAGGCCCCTGACTTCACAAATGTCTTCTTTTTTGTTGTTGTTATTATTTTTAGTGACAATTATTTCAGTGTTTCTGATTGGGCATATTTATTTCTAAAAAGAATAAAATTAATATCTAACAGAAATAGCACTTGATCTTATTAGTGATGGTTAAGTTCCTTATCATCATGCTAAATGCTACATTTCCCCTTTGCTATAGATTAAAGACATTCAGCATCAGATTTCAAAATATATTCACATACCACAGGTTTGTCATATGTCTGCAGAGTGTCAGTAAGATCATCTCTTATTACAAATTTCCAGACTTGAACTTATTTAAATGTACTTTAGGTGAGTGTCATACATGGAAAATGTTTTGTATAAGCATTGGGTCAGGACATTATTTCTGACAAAAATACTTGTTTCAATTTTAAGTACTGCTTCTTAGTTTGGAAATTCCTTTATGCAGCTTCATAGAGAAAGAAATGCTTTAAAATTCTTCAAGTATTTCAGACTGAACATGGGAAAGTCTTAATGACAACAACAAAAATAACACTTGTGGCGGATGGGAGGGGATGCAGTTTTGAGACTTTTTTTCCTGTCATAAAAGATACTGATTTCCCTAATCTATCTCCTCACAATCCAGACGTGCCAGTTACTTCTCCAAGGATTAACGTGCTGCCGTAATGTCAATACAACAATCCCTTTTAAGTGCACTTTAAAAAAAAAAAAAACAAAACACTTTAGTAGAAAGAGTGGTGGCATCAGTTGTTCATCTTACAGAACAAAACTGTTGTATCTGATAAAGAGGAGGGTCTTCAGCAGATAGTATGGAACTTCGAAATTCAGGGGCTTTGTTACTATTTTTCCTTCTTGCACGAAGATTTATAAATTTATAATGCCCCGCTCAGTTTTTGTTTTAGGTTTTTTATCGTTCGCCTCCTTGAACTTCATGCAGCGGGGAACTGCTCTTCGCCACAGTCGGCCGAGTTGCTTCGGGCACAGCCCAACCCCGGGCACGCAGCCCTGGCAGAGCCCGGCTCCGGGCACGCAGCCCTGGCACACAGTCCTGTCACAGCCCGGCTCCGGGCTCACCGCGGTCCCGTCTGGCAGAGCCCGGCTCCGGGGGTCAGAACGCTCGCTCTGCCGCCCCGGGCACCCCGCTTAAACCCGGTTAAAGCCCAGGCCCCCCGCTCCGTTTCCATCAGGGCCAGCGAGCAGTCTGGATGCAGAACGGGGCACCGGCTGCGCGCTTACTAAGCTTAAGCTACGCGTTTTTCCAGAGAGGGGTGCGGGACCAGGGCTCCCCGTCCCGTCCCCCGCGGCGGCTCCGCGCTGCCCGCCGGCGCCATTCCCAGGGCGGCCGCGGTTT